TAGTATCGATTCTATAACTAAAACAACCAGAATGCAGTAATAACACCAAGATTAATTACAGCAGTAGCAACAGCAGCAGCCAAACAATAGCTATACCAGTACCTAAACAGCAACATCAGCAGCGACAATAACGACTGTATTGTCATAAACAAAAGTAGATATGTCATCAACAACAACACCAACATCAGCAGCAGTTACAAAAAAAGGTACGATGTTAGTAATCTACAGCATCCACAAAAATTCGGCGACAACAACAGCAACATTAGCAACAAACATCATTAGTTGACACAAAAATAAAAAAAATAATGAAATTATAAATTAATAAAAATACTAACGAAACAAAACGGTAATAAAAACAAGACCATCAAGAAAACAACCCTAGCACCGATTGTCTGTATAACGGCCGCGGCCAACGATTTTAGACGCATTCGCATCTTTTTTGTGCCATCTGCACTTGCAATTGGTGGCTGAGGATCGTGGCACACCCGCAACAGAACACTTTCCTCGGCTTCCCCTACAGAGGGGGGGGGTTGAGAACGCTCCTCATATGAAAATTGAGAAATTTCAACAGATGTGGGCATTTTTGTGTGCCGCGTTAGCTCAAGCTTACTAGGACGTGGGGCATTTTTATTTATCGCTATCTGGGTAATTTTGAATCTTCTTGGTTACATGGGGTTTTACTTTTTCCTTTTTTGCTGTTAAAAAGCTCGATAATAGTCATAAATTTGTGTGTGAGCGTTTTAATTTAGGGAATTTGCATTAACACACCCCATTTCCTTAGATTCACACCCTTTGTCAAGCCTGTATCAACAACCTACCTGCAAAACCTGATGATTGCACACCTTTGTACACCACCAGGTATTGTACCTCTTTCTCATACTTTTATTTACGCATGCTATCGGAAATGTTGCTATACTATTTCCATGCCTTCATTTTACACACTCACAATTCGTATTTTGCTTAAAAGGAGTGCACCTATCAGGGCTTTTACGGGATGACGCCTGTAATTAAAGTTATTGCACATCAGACGGAATTATTCAGGAGTAAATACTTGCTTGTCCGTGTAATATATAAAAGGGATGGTCATGATTCGGTACAACATCGAATTCATCGCCACGTAGTCTGTGTAGTCTACTAATAATAGTACATGCCATGTACGATTATTCCACATTTTACGAAGCCTTTGTACTATAACAATGGCACAGTCCCATAAACTACAATTGTCATGGATACACTTCTCAAACTCCTGTAATGTCCGTCCAGAACTCCTGCGTACCGCCCTCTGTCGGTCTGAATTAAATGAATAAGAATTGATGTACATTCGGAGGCACAAAATAGCTGAAATGCCACTACTAAACTTATTACGCCTGACTATTTCATCATAATCAGATTGGGCAGCTCTCACGGTGGGATCGCAGAGCAAACACCTGATCGAGATCCCTTTCGACTACAATGTAACGATGTAAGAAATTTCAGGTGTGAATCTATAATCTCACAAGCTCATCGCGATTTTTCGATGATTGCGCATTTTATATTTGGGCGAATGCGTGAACTGTAATAAATGCAGGCAGTTTGTAAGATGGAACCGTGTGAATGGTATACTGACGGTCTTTCATAATACCAATTATTTAGAATGGCCTGACAACATAAATCAGCTATACCTGAACAAGAAAAAGTAGTTAATTTTGGTGGCGCTCTAAACTGTATTCGGCAAGATGGAAGACAATTTTGTATGCACTAATATTGTTTATAAACGATTATTCGCGCGGTGAGTCATAGATCTGTAAATTGAATGTAAGTCTATCAAAAGTGAATAGTTAATGTTTTGGTACAGATATCGGGTTTAGAGGAAGGGTCTGAATTTAGATAATGGGGTGAGTGAATCAATTTCCTGAATTTAAAATACACGTCAGAATACGAAAAAGTAGCTTTGCCGACACGAAAAAATAAATATGATGATAAAAAGGAATTGTTGGGCTCACTCTCTTTTTTAATAGATTTAGTCTTTTTTCTCGTACAGTAAAATCTACAAAATCATTTTGATCGATCAATTATGAGTGTAAACATTTTAATTTCTCCTCAAAAACACTTATTGATCAATTACGAGTGTAAATGAATCCTTTTTTTTGAATGAGTACACTACCAATTCTACGACTATATGTCATCTCTTGGTCATTAAAGTCGGATTCCACGGCGTTTTAATTCGGTATCGATGGCAGTGTAAGCGCTAGAGTCAATTTCGCAAAGTCTTAGCTTTTATTTACGAGTATTTGGTACATAAAACCGTCGAATGGCACGCGATCATGTAATGGTTCACAACTTTCTCTACAGACCACCATCTGGTTTCTAATTGACCAACTACGCCACCAGACATAAAGAAATGGATACAATATGTAACCTAATAGACGTTACACGAACAATCAATAGAGTACCAATAAAATAAGAAGACAGAAACGACAAAGGATTGTAATTAAAGAATATGGTAAGCCATATTACATTTATTTTTTGAGATTTACACAGCACAAAAATAATTTTTTTAAGACGAACTGGAGGAGACGAGGACTAGCGAGCACCACGTAAACCAAACTTTGCCATTTATATGCCCACAGCATACATAAGTAGCTAACCAAAGATGCAATTAGGTATCTCGTTCAGGTGCGGCAAATTCCGCGCGTACCTCCGTCGTAAAATCTTAAATTTCATTGGCCAACAATCATCATTTGTAAAGAAGAGAGTCTCCATCTCGGTTGCCCATTCGCGATACGTTTTGAACAGGTCGTTTCCTGATGTAGTTTGACGTGTTATACCGAAGACAGCGACCAAGTTGTAATATGTCGTATTGGCAGCGGATTATCAAGTACAACGACGAGTTTTCTGAAAATGTGGACGAGAGATGATCAGGGTGATTGACTACCGCATCGTAACTTTAAGTTACAGTGAGAAGGAGTCAAGTGAAATGATATGTAGGAACGTAAAGTTTCACTCGTAGATTTATTCAATCACAATTGGCTGTTTCGAGTGTCCACTTCACAAAAGATAGGAAAGTGAATCTTACCGAAAAAGAAATGAATCGAGCTATTTCCTAGAAATGGTAAAACTGTAAGTTTGTTGTCAACAAAATGCTGGTTACCGGATAAATTTATCTCGTCCCCAACGCATCATAGTTTTGTACTGGAAAATGCGGTCGTCGTCAATTTCGCCACACCATAAACTCTATAGTCATCAAATTGACCCCGTTTATCGACTTTATTTTCATCCCAACGGGAATCTGCCGTCTACGCAATCAGTCAACCCGACACCAACTCTACTTGCACCTCATTGATTTACGCTGTATGGATAACTAGTCGCGTCACTACTTCGTATCGTGAGTCAAAACCTGCAGCAGCTCGTGACTTTGCCACCAATCTTATTGCATTTCTGCGCGAATACATCAATTGTGATCCAAGGATGTATCACATTCTTTTTGCGACTGCAGCATTACCTTCGTGCCCCGGTTGCAGTGGTAGTGCATTCAAGTATGAGACCTGTTGAAATCATAGACACCAGCATACGAATTTGTAAAAGCCGAGTTAATATCTACATCAACTGCGGCACATCAGTTTATGTGGATGACAACTTCAAAGATCTCGAAAAATATGTTGGCAGCGCAGCAGCCGGACGTCTAGAAACGGTCGCCTATTACACGATGATGTTCATTTGTGTTTAGCGCCGTCCATCCTAGAGTTTCTTTAAATATTTACTTGCGGTCACTTTTGGTAGTTTGGCTGCTTTTGATCACTTCACCGATCGATTTGACGGTGACCGTCACTTAAGAAGCGTGACCAGTCAACTACCATTCCTGCTCACCAGATAAAAATTTCTCAGAATTATCGGCTTCAAAAACATTCACGTTGCTTTTTAAAGTCATTTTGATGTCATGCAACGAACTTAACACATCAGGCTGTCAACAGTGCGATGAAAATCGTACCTCGATTACTCCCGCAATGAATTTCACGGCAAGAAAATCACAAAGTGAACGCCGTACAGAAGTTCGGTGCAACCACGATATTCAAAATTGATGCAAGTACCACATTCGGTTCATCCCCTAAGGGCTTCCCCTATAACAAGCACATGGATGCATAACCACATCCGACGCCACCTCGGACGAAAAATGCAGCAGCAAATCTCTTACGACTCACCCAGAGGCAAATTAGGCGACTGACCATGTTAGTCGCTTCTATCCAAAAAGGCTGGGTAGCACTGCGGGCGTCAATGCGAAAGATGACGACCTGTAGACGAGATTTCTACTGCTTTCCTCAATGACACCAGCCATTATTGAGTGGGTGAGCACGTTGCTGATCAACCGGGATGGACGTACTATCATCGCAATTCGCAGTCTGTTTATTACTGCCGATCGCTAATATGAACACCCAAGAGCCCTCTACAACAAAAATATCTCTTCAGAGTACAATGGCATGTAAAGAGGCTCGATCGTTCGAATCTATGGGCACAACTCGGCCAAATGCGCTGATAATTGTCAAACGAAAGGTGTGCTTCGGTCACTGAAGTACACTTCCCCTTCCACAATGATCAGCGAAGTTCGGTCTACTGTTTGAACTTTGTCAGGAGCGGGAGTCCCTGTATTATAAGGCCACTGTAGGCACGTCACTGGACAGCACCTCTATTCATTCACTTCCGAATCAGTGGACATCAGTTCGTGTGATGGGTACCCATTCGTGCTCCGCATCGCGTTCTAATGGTCATTTCCGTACCAGACTGTGGCATCGTCTCGTAGTGTATGCCCGTTCTAGAAGCGTAGACTAACGGAACGTGGTCGGCCAGTGCAATCACATCTGCACAAAACGCACTTTGCTGCACGAAGTATGCGGTCAATGGAATTGTCTTACAATTGATAACGCAACGCCAAGCGCGATGCCAGACACACAATAAAACTGCATAAGCACATGCACCTATAGAGCTTCGGGTTCAACGATTCATATGACAGAGACTGATTGGCCTTCTCACGACAAACAAGTACAACCCGGTGTCGAAGTCGATCGCAGAAGTCCTTGTAGCACTGGGTATGAACTTGAACGCATGGGATGCGTATGCTTGTTTGCATACCGCACTTTATGGACGCAGACTGTCCATCGAACCACCCCGCCGTCCTTCCTTCCTTAAAGTGCAGTACCAGTTCCCTCAGTGTTCCGATGGTGCTGATTACCACTCATATCTGCTGTCCTCATCGACAATGACATGGCCGACCTTACCACTGTCCTTTTTGCTTGAAAACATGTCGTAGAAAAGGAAGCCACGCAGACTCTTGTGGCCGGACGTATCCTGTTTGGCTTGGTCCGATTTCAGTATTTCCACGCCTTCTACTGCAAAGGAGTCGCCATAGGCAAACAGACAAATTACAGCCAAGGCCGACAAATACGAGTAATACGACACACGCATGTTTAGGACTGATATGATTGGTGGTGGTGCAGAGAAGATCGCTTTGGACGCAAATTCGATTATGGAGATCAAATCAAGTTTAGTTGGGCTGATTTAAACGGACTCCTGGAAACGCAGTGAATTCGATCAAAGAGGCTCTGATTCGAGCGTCACCAAAATCTCTTCAAGCAGTTTCACCAGCCAGTATCAGGCACCACGGTTCTACGCAACGATAAAGAGCGGTTGCTCTTATCTGGCCACTCTTTGACTTTTTAGTCACAGTGTCGGGGGAAATCCGAACGAGAGACGCACGGAGACTGCTCAGTTTTTTAGGAGTTGTGTTATAATTTTCAACGCCGTGGACATTGTTTAAAAGCTGGGCTTTTATTTATTTTTGCTTTTTATATCCTTTTTACTATTTAAAAATACTTGATTTTTGGTTTAGATCGTAGACGTTTTTGTAAAACGTGAAGGGCGAGAAGGTAATCCAAAGCTTTGAGAAATTCCACAATTATTTATAATTTCTACAAGTCCATTTAAAACTTTCCCTAAAATCGCTCATCTTTTAGCAACATTTAACTCGATTGCATCAGAATTGCAAACACAATTCCTTGAAAGTTACAGTTTGCTCTGGAAAATAAAGTAATATATAAAATACTAGTTATAAGTAAAATTTAGCTCAACAATGGAAAGCGACAATATTAGTTTTAAAACGAACATTTTGTTTAACCGTGTACCTAAACAACGATTTAGCCAAAAAATGAAAAAACCGACCTTTCAGTATTTGCGTTTCACCATTAAAATGTTGTGACGTGAGCTTGTCCTGGGTGATTAAAAAGACGTTCGTTACTTGCTACGCTGTAGATTCTAATGCAGGGTATACAATTGTCGCGTAGATACCTGGTGCTGCACATGTAGCATTTTTCTCGAGGTAGCGTTAATATATATTGTTGGCGTACTTCAGAAAATTTAATGATCTACAAAAGGACATTATTAACTTATAGAGCGTATCTCAGTTTACCAAATGGCTTGATTTAGTTCCTGGAAGTTGGTCTATCAGCAAGACACTGACAGCAAAGAAGAAGTAGACAGCTCTAGGTTTCGTAATTAATTCATTAATTTGAAAATCGCTAGCCAGTATTCTTACTGTCCATTTTAAAAGGTTTACTCTTGCTTTGTGTCCTTTCATGCTTTTATCGTTGTTGTTTTATTTTTCTATTTGGTTATTTCCATTACTTTATTAATCGCGGACAATTCGAACGATTTAAATTTTACAATCGATATCCCGCGTAATCCTCGAAAGAAGTAAATTGGGACACCGCAAATTTCGTTTGGTGTGGTCCAGACAAACCCATAAAAATACCGTATTTCTATATACACACGGTTTGCACTGGCTACACACTCATTTAAACTATTCTTTAATTTTAGCAGTTGAGCAAATAACTACTTATATCGAGCCATCATGCGGTCCGCCTTATGCAAAATCGACACGGTCGCCCACGTGTCAAATACTTGAATCTATCAGTATCGGCATAGCTCACTAGTTTTAATGCTTTCAGAGCGTGTGGTATTCAACATCGCCTCGTCGTATTCAAGATAGTGTTTCTGAGTATGTCTACCGATTTTTTTGTCAATGAAACGATGTACTCGCAACGATAGAAAACTAGTAAGCCTGCCACTAAGATCGAAAATATATATAGCTCACTCTTTTGACTAAAGACACTAATTACAAAATTTAACGCCAACATACTAGTTACCTGCACTTAAGTGTATCTTCAAGGTTTAGTGTTGCGTAAGCTTGCACGTATTTGCAGTCTAGCAAAGTATGCACTGATTATCAATTTGCGTCTTTTTCAACATCAATACCGTGCTCTTTCCTCACAATCGACGCGCAACTAATGCAAGATATTTGTTTTGTGTAACGGGGCACCCTGAAGCTTGTACTGGTAACAGTACAAGCTACTTATTCTGATGACAGAATAAGGCGGTGCCTCGGAACTTCACGTACACTCGTACGTGCAGAGGAAGACGGTGAGAAGAAGCGAGTACTTGGTTAAAGTAAAAAGTAGAACTGTATTTATAATAGTTAATGTCTGCAATAAATCACTATTTATCTTCATCTAACTATGTCTAAATACAAATGTGTAAATCAACTATCTGCTCACCACTCATTACGTGCGTCTGTCGTGGCGCGTCTTCGTTGGTTGATATAATGGCCTATATCAACCAATTAGGAACTACTCGTAAGTGCTACAGAATATTTGTCCTTATGACAATATTCTGAGAATATAACTCTTATAGTTATATTCTATTAACAATTTCTTATAAATTGTTATACAACGATTCACCCCGTTACATCACCCCCCCTTAACCATCCGTCACTTTAGTGACTGATTGACTAAATGGATACTCGTCCCAAATCATTTGGGACAGGGTTTTTGCACTTGTTGGTCCGAGTCCACAGTCCATCAGCTTCATCGCATGGTTAACAAGTCCATGCGGTGCGCGGGCAAGGCCGCCGAGAGCGCGTCCGCGCGTCTCTGTGCGGATGCCGAAGCAGAAACCACAGCAACTGATGTCTCATCGGTTGCTGAAGCGACCCAGCCTGTGTCACTTGGTGATGCAGGCGCTGGTCATGAAGACACTCATGTCTTCACAGAGTACGAGCTCGGTGTCTCGTACTATCCTGATACGGAAGACGGTTCCGTATCGACGGCCATTGAATCTAAGCCGCCTGCCAAGCGTGGCATGAACGATGCTTTGCGTCGCAGCATCTTTGGTTCATCTGATGAGTCAGATGAACCATCGCCGAAGCGAAGGCGCTCGAGGTCGCGAGACTCGGGCGCTAACAGTGGTGTCGGTTCTCCTATTGATACCACTTCGCAACGAGGTGCCAGTACTTCTGTCAGCACGTCGCAGGAAGAGCGGGACCGCAATGTCTTGCGTCTCGCTCCAGAAAAGAAGGCATGGATGCCTCCAAAATCTGTCATGGATCACTTGTCGGCGGCGACGAGTGATCGTTATCGAACACGATTGTTCGATTCGTCAAGGATCCATCACCTTGACCCCAGCGCAAAAAACTAGCACACTGAGAATGAGTTCTTCATCGATGCTTTCTTTAGACATCGATGGTACAGTGGGAATCACAAACGTGATGGTCCCTCACTACTTCAGGCGTGGAACGCCTACATCCATAACCTCGAGGATGTAGGTCGTGACGCTTGGAACGACAAACTTATCAAAGCTCGTGATAAGTTTGAAAAGCGAACCCCGACAGGTGCACGCTACAAGCTGCATCGTCTGTCAAGGGAGAAAGGATTACCCTGCCTCTCTTGGGGAGACTCGTGCCCGTGTTGTGTGAACAACTCTGCACGAGCACCTAAGGAGGCTTACCTCCTTAATAGCCCGTGGTGGCGCGTACGTATCTCTAGTGAGATGTACGAAGGGATTGACAACTTGAAATCCCTTTACGACCGTGCCGGGAAGACTTTCTCCGGCGGTCCTTCTGCGGCACAGGACGTGCCGCGTCGTACTGCTCAACCAGACCCAGTACGTCGATCATCAGTTGGGAGCGGGGCTCCCAAGAATCCCAGGACGGGGGATAGCCGCGCCACCGGACGAGATAACTCGTCCGACGTCCGTTCACGTCGCGGTGGTTCAACAGCTGCTCAACTAGATAGCGCTGGCGACCGCGAGAGTCCTCTAATGGAGGTGGAGGAGGAGGAAAGACGCTCTCCACACGATCATGTGAATCGGTGTGTTCCCGAGAGCTTCTTTGATCGCGTAGCGCAAGAGTTACGCGACGATCTCGAACATGAGCGGAATAGGCGTATCCAAATGGCGGACACTGCCTCGAAGCATCGAGCTGAGTTTGCCTTTGCTCAGCTTGAGAACGAAAGATCTCTGACATCTCTTCGTGACGAGCTAAGGGTAGCTCGTGGGATTGTTGATCGGTCTCGGGATGAGATAGCTGCTCTTCAGACCCTTGTTGATGCCCACCATCGGGAGCACAAGGCTCTCTGCGAGATGCTTGAGCGCAAAGGCGTTCTTCATCGGAAGAAGCAGCGTACTGATGGTACGGCTTAAGCCGACCAACGTAAAACGTGGGATGCGTTCGCATCTTACGTGGTAACTCGATCGTGTATGCATTGCCTAGGCGGTGCAATACACGAAATGGGCCAATGTACTTGGGTAGTAGTTTACTGCTACCCAAGTTAGTCACTACATGTTTTGGTAGATTAACCGTAGACAGTAGGACTAAGTCACCTTTATTAAATAAAAGAGTGTTTGCCCTTCCATTCTTGCCAGCGTTTTGCTTTTGCTTATCCACCGCTTCGGCGATGGAGTCTTGCACAAAACGGACAACCGTTTCACGAGCCAGTATGAAACTCATCTGATGACTCGTTAGCTTCAGTGTGCTGTGAGCGCACTGCAGCAACATCAACCTTTTCTTCAGTGAGGGCTTCCGCACTCTCACTGGCATCATCTTCTTCGATATCGATGTTATCGATATCGGCATCAAACGCACTGACCTCATCGTCAGAGAGTGATGAGCGTGAACCAAATCGGTTTTTGCTCGCGCGAGTCCCTCTCCCCCTTAAACCAGAGTTACACTCTAGTAAGGTGGGTACACGCGGATGGCGCAAGCCATTCACGTAAAACGGTGTATGTGTCGTGGACGCATGCACCGAGTTGTTGATGGCAAACTCTACCATTGGCAAAAACTCACTCCAACTCTTAAAGGAGTGTTCGTATCCTCGAAGTATCTCTTCAAGGACACGATTGGCTCGTTCCGTCTGACCATCTGACTCGGGATAATCAGTGTCGACATCTTCAAGCGCGTTCCGAGTGATTTGAACACGGAACGCCAGAAATCAGCAGTGAATCGTGGATCTCTGTCTGATACGAGTTCACGGGGCAACCCATGAAGTCGGAAGATGGTGTCAATAAAGACACAAGCACAGCCACTTGCCGTGATTGTCTCTGGTACAGCCACAAGGTGTACCATTTTGCTGAATCTGTCAACAAATACGAGAATACCCGTATTCCCGCGTGCGTCTTTGGGTAACCCGAAGACGAAATCCATTGAGATGGATTCCCAGCACTCAGCCAGAACCGGTAGAGGCTGTAAAGGTGCACGCAGTGAAGGACTTGACTTCACTCGTTGACAGACTTCGCATGCGCGAACATACTTCCGCACAAACTGATACTGGCGGGGCAAGTAAAAGTCTCGACTTACCGTGAGATATGTTTTCTCTCGGCCACGATGTCCTCCTATAGGAGCATCATGATACTCGAACATGATCCGCAAACGCAGATCAGTATCATCTGGAATGACAACACGTGGTGTGTCACCAGAAACGACTGTATAATACAGTAAACCGTTACGAGTAGTGTATCGATCTGATGCAGATCGATACGCAGACGACAATCGTTTCAACGATTCTCGAGATGGCTGTGAGAGATGTGTCAACAACTTCACAATCTCACCATCTTGGGCGTATGCCCGCCTCACATCATCATACAACGTTGTAGATGGGACTGAGGACGTCATAACCGCAACAGTGACTGTCTCACTGTTGGGTTTCGCGACTGTTTCAAAGTCGGGACGACGTGAGAGTGCATCAGCGACGACATTAAGTCGTCCTGGTTTGTACTCGACCGTAAAGTTGTATTCCGCAAAGAATGACAACCACCGCGCCATTCGTTGTGAAAGGTGCGGGCTGTTCACTGCCGTGCGTAATGACGCATGGTCAGTGTAAACAATGAAGGGTCTATCTCCTAATAGATAGACTCTGAACTTCGCGAGTGCATACTTCATGGCAAGGAGTTCCTTGTCATGCACTGGATAGTTCCGCTCAGCTGGTTGCAGCTGACGCGACTGATAGCAGACGACGCGTTCAACGCCTTCAAGATCGTACTGCATTAATGCACAGCCGATTGCGAAATCGCTGGCATCACAGACCACGTGAAATGGCCTGTCCTGATCGGCTATTGCTAGGACTGGGGATTGTATCAAGCTCTGCTTGATACCCTCAAAGGAGCGCTGACATTCAGCGTTCCATAACCACCTCTCGTTCTTTTTCAACAAACGAGAGAGGTGCACAGTCATCTCGGCGTAATTGCGTGAATACTTATTCAAATACGCCGCTAGCCCAAGGAATTTTCGAAGACCTTTGACATCAACCGGCACAGGCCAGTCGGTGATCGCCTTGATCTTTTCGGGATCAGGACGTACACTGTTCTTACCAACGATGCACCCAAGAAGTGGTATTTCGCTTGCTGCAAATATACACTTCTTGAGGTTTGCATACAATTGATGCTTTCGCATGATTGTAAGAACCTGTCGGACGTGGTTTCTGGGAACCTCAACATTCGACTTTCCATCCATAGCCCGACTATGGATGAATACGTAATCGAAATAACTCGGCGCGAATTCTCGTACTGGTCTCAACAGATGTGATACACATCTGTTGAACGTGGCAGGGGCATTACTAAGCCCTTGTGGCATTACTAGCCATTCCCAGAGCATGCCGCTAGGCGTGCTAACTGCGGTATAGGGTTTATCCCGTTCTCACATAAGGATTTGATAGAAGCCATCCATCAAATCCATGGACGAAAAGATGGTGCTCTTTGACATACCATCAATGATTACGTCCTTCCTCGGTATCGGCGTCTGAGCCGGTACCGTTGCAGCATTCAACTTGTTGAACGCATGCACTATCCGCCACCCTCCTGTTGCTTTTCGCACACAGAAGGTCGGAGAGCTATGTGGGGAAGTTGATTCCCTCACATGGCCCGCAGCTAAACGATCGGCAAAGAACTTGTCGATCGCAAGTACTTGTTCACGAGGCAGTGGCCACTGCTTCATGACACAGTACTTCGAGCCTGGTTTAAGCTCGACCTCGTGTCGAATACCTTTATCCTTCGGTAATTCGCACGGAACAGTTTCAGGGAATACATCCTTGAATTCAACCAAATCTTCATAGAGAGGATTTTTCTTGAGCGATTCCCACGATTGGGAGTCATATCGCTCAATTCGTGTCTTTTCATGGAGGACACTTTCGTCCATAGATGAACTACCGAGAACTCTCTCGCTCTCAGTAAACACTGTTGTTGACCTTATGTCGGTTACACACTCGTCGTCAGCGACGAATACGCAGATCTGCTTGACTTTGCCACTACGCAGATCACGCAAGAATCTTTTATGTTCGAGCGTTGGCAACTGAGTGATCTCCGAAGTTAACTTCGGAGGCGCAATCAGATCAAGTGTATAAGCGCCTACACTTGATCCGTTATTGACTATGACATTCAATGTCTCTGTCATTTTCTGGGGACTTATTCCCTCAGGCTTCGAAGGACTTATTCCTTCGGCTTCCCAAAGGCCTCATTCCCGCGGGTTTCGGGGAACTTCTTTCCGCCGTATTTGTAATATCGGGACTTATTCCCTTTACTCCCTCTAGCTGGGGTTGCGCAACCACAGCGAGATCCTCTACGAAAGACTCTCCAGTCGATCTAGGATTATCGTTTCGCTTAACCTGAGCGATCGATTGTTTCTCTTCTAGATGTTCCCCGCTAGGGATACATCTTTGTCCCAGTCCACCCGACTTATTCGAGTGGTGGACCTTCGGCGCAGCCTGTGTTTCCTCACAGCCGCCGGAACTTTGCTCCGAAGTGTAACCGTTTGGTACACTAAGGTTTTGTGCAGTCGTACTGACGACCGTACCACAAGTGAGGCCATCGCACTCACTCGTAGTACATCCACACGCTTGTGGACGCTCCAAAACGTTCATCAGATGGCCATCTGATGAACAAGCGGCAGGCATCGTTACTGTTCGATGTTGCCAGTTTACCCGTGGTTCGTACCTTCTGAGCCACGGTATTCCAAGGATGACATCAAATTTGTCATCCAAATCCAATACGATAAAGTCATCATCATATTGGGTATCTTCTAGCGTATAGTGGATCTTCACTATACGCTTCATGACGGTTACGGATGCGCCTGTCGCAAGACGTACCGTCATCCTCGTAGGAGGTGTGTCACATTCACTGAATTTAAAGTGACCATCTTCTAGCGATTGGCGTCGCACAAAATTGTTGGACGCCCCACAATCGACTAGCGCTCGAAGGGACAACTTATTCGTCACTTCGAGTTTCAAGGTAATGAGTGAGATCCCATTACCTAGAGCAGCAACGCACAACGTTTGTGTGTTGGGAGCAACCTTCATCAAGAGGCCTACAAATTCTCTTGACGTTGCTGGACCAGTAGGGTGCTCCGCACCTACTGATCCTGTCCGTTTTTTGACGGTCCATCCCGTTGTTGCGTCTTTGCACCAACAGCGGACCCGCGTCCCTGTCCCTTTCTCATGGGTGGACGGTCACTACGCCCAGTGTTGCGAGACACTGGACGAGGGGGCACTACACTCGTAAGCGTAGTGTCCTGTCTTCTGACATCTGTTGCATTTCTGCAACTTCTTGTAGTCTGTAGAGCGAGCCTTCTCGCTCTCTACATAACAGAGTTCCATCGGCTCTGGACCTCCGTTGTCATATCGTCTCGGTTGACGATATGATGTCGAGCTGGCGCGAGCCTGTCTCAGACTGAAGTCTTCCTGCTCCGCAATGGAAATGGCTTGTTCTAGTGAATCTAGTTCAAGCCGGAACAGGTGAGTCTTGACGGGACCATCCGCAAGACCCTGCATGAACACCGAAACCAACGTGTGTTCATCCACCGGATTGGAACTTATACAACTCGTGAGATGTCGTATATGTTGAGCGTGAGCGTGCACATCACGCTTACCCTGCTTGAGCTTCAAGAGTTCGGTTCGAGCTCTGAACTCAGCTCTAGGCGGTTCAAACGTTTGTCTGAGCCGCGACTTGAAGACTTTCAACGACCCAAACGCATATGGGTCGTGCAACTTGAGCCCCAGTGCCCAAGTCTTGGCACGTCCTGCCAGATTTGACTGGGCAAATGCAACTTGCATATCCCCGTCGTCGATGCGACGCGCCCTTATGGCGTCATCCAATTCGACGAACCATCTCAACAGGGAGTCCTCTTCGACTCCCCTATACTTGGAGATGTCAATCTTCAAGGTTTCGGGTCGACGCGAGTGCATCGACCCACCAGCAGCAGCCTGCTGCTGTCTCAACAGTTCAAACTGTTGAGCACCCTGTTCTCTCAACAACTCTGCTTGTTGAGAACCTTGTTGGTGAAGCAAGGCTACTTTCTCGCGTTCAGCGTCAAGTTCATTTTGAATGAACTTGGCGATAGTAGCATGTTGGGCATCTCTATTGAGAGCCTCTAGCATGACGCTAACAGCATGGATGCCCATGGTTGAACCCATCCGTTCAACCGCATCCCATTCGACATCGCTCAAATGGGAGTAGCCGTCACGCGTAGCGTGAAAGCTTTGGTCATCTTCATCGTCCACATATTCATGTTAGATGTGAACGTGGTCCTTGGACGGACTACGAAGTGCTACCAGGTGTAACGGGGCACCCTGAAGCTTGTACTGGTAACAGTACAAGCTACTTATTCTGATGACAGAATAAGGCGGTGCCTCGGAACTTCACGTACACTCGTACGTGCAGAGGAAGACGGTAAGAAGAAGCGAGTACTTGGTTAAAGTAAAAAGTAGAACTGTATTTATAATAGTTAATGTCTGCAATAAATCACTATTTATCTTCATCTAACTATGTCTAAATACAAATGTGTAAA